AGAAGAGTGAAAAGAGACTAGCCAGATGGAAGGCTCAATACATTTCTTTTGGTGGTAGACACATTCTTATCAACTCTGTTCTAAATTCTCTCCCAACATATGTTATGTCTCTTTTCACTATACCGGCAAAAGTGGTTAAGAAATTGGACAAACTTAGGAGAGATTTCCTTTGGCATGGTTGCAAAGAGAACAAAGGATACAATTTGGTCAAGTGGGCGACAGTTTTGCATAGAAAAGATAAAGGTGGTTTGGGCATCAGAGATTTGAGGAAGCATAACAACCGTCTTTTGATGAAATGGTTGTGGAGATACACTGAGGAGAGGCAAGCTTTGTGGAAATGTTTGATTAAATGTAAATATGGGGAGGATGGATTCTGGTGTAGTAACATAAGCACGAATGCTTATGGAGCGGGGGTTTGGAGAGCTATTAGAAACTTATGGCCCAAGTTAGAAGCAAATTTACATATCAAGGTGGGGGATGGAAGGAGAACTAGATTCTGGTGGGATGTATGGATCAAACAAACCCCCTAAAAGACCTATTTCCTGATCTATTTATTTTGTGCACCAATTCTGAGGTAATGATCAGTGATTGCTAGACAGTACAAGGTTGGAATCACTATTTCAGAAGACTTCTAAATGATTGGGAAATAGAGAGTAGCCAAATTGTTGGAGGAAGTGGGGGATTTTGCAGGCACCAATACTGACAATGATGTTGTTAGATGGTCACACAGTAAGGATGGGATCTTCACAGTTGGCAGGGCATATAAAAAGGAGTGCAACTCGCAAAGTAGCAGACACCAGAGTTCATGGAAAAATATCTGGAGGACTGCAGCACCAACAAAAGTTAAATGCTTTACTTGGCTGGTCATTAGAAAGGCATGCTTGACACATGAAGTCTTGAGGAAGAAAAGAAAGATCATACTTCCGTGGTGCTCTTTATGTGGAAAGACAGGGGAAACTAACACTCACCTATTCTTACATTGTACTTTCACAGCACAAATATGGTCCATGTTTCTCAACTATTTTAGAAGTGAAAATGGACTATGCCCGAACATACAGCTGATTTACTTAGTTGTTGGATCAAGAGAGGAGGTAGCAAGAGACAGAAGACCTGGTGGAATCTGATTCCACATTGCATTTGGTGGACAGTGTGGAAGGAGAGGAATAGTAGGAATTTTGAAGATATATCCAATTCCATTCACAAGGTTAAATGGAATTGCTTTGTATCTCTATATTTTTGGTGTAAAGAGATAGGATTAGAGGATTCAGATCAACTTTTAGAACTCTTAGGATCCTTGTAAGTATTATGCTTTTTGTTCTTTTCTGATTTTTTAAAGGTCCCCAACATATCCTTAATGCTGAAGAATACAATGTTTACCAATTCTCAAAAACAAAATGAGGTCAATGATATGCATGTTGTAGTATGAAATGAAATCGACCAACAGTCAAACCCAAGCCCCCATACTCAAAATTCAAATTTCAAATTTCAATATATTTCTATGTTACTCATAACCTCACAAGTCTAAATCCACAACTAGAATTTCAATTCGAGTTCATTTTTTTTTTGATGACAAGGGAAACCCGCAGCCGCTACCCTTTGGGTGCGCACAGGGTAAAACCCCCGCTCCTATGCAATAGCTCGCAAACCACATAGGAGAGGTAACCCGCACTAGGCAAGCCCGGTGCGACGAGCTCGACCTAGAAGGCAAGCCCCTTGCTTTCGCTGGCAAGGGGTTTTGAACTTGAGACCTCCAACATGGAAGTCCCAAGCCCAAACCACTGAGCCTCCCCGAAGGGTCAATTCGAGTTCAATTTGAAGAAGAGTATTTGACTTTCATTTATTTTGATTTAGTTTTTTTAAATTGGAGTAGTGTGACTATGTTACTATTGACAGATTTTACTGCCATTAGACGTATCAATAGATTTCTATTCTAAATAGAAAGAAAGTCAAATTTGTCTAAATAGTAGACATAAGGAAGCGGGAGATAAATGTGGGGAAGAAAAAATTCTAGGAGGGATTTTTTGTCTTCTCAAATCACCAAGATACACTTCCTTGAGTTTAGGACTAAAACTCCCACTCCTAATTTCACCTCTTTAATCCGCGTTCTTGGAGTAAAAAATTATGGATAATCAAGATATATACCCAAAGTCAAGTGTAGAACTGTAGATTACTTGCCCTCAAGGTGTACAAGAAAAACCCATTCAAGATCGCTTCAATCCAAGCTCCCAAGCTCCAAAATGGAAGAAATGATGTTGCTCGTGAATACCTGAACACCTCTCTCGAGTCCTCATGCATTAGCAGACCAGGCCCAAACTTTCCCCTATGTGGCTGTGAGGATCATTGCTAGTGTTTGCGACGACTAGCCAGTCGGTAGTGCGCGATCACAGCCTTTGTGTTAACGATTGCGACAACAACTTTTCAGCTTTTCTCAACTTGTTCCAAGTGTGTCCTCCCCCCTCACCCACACACACACATACCAAAGCATAATACGAATCTATTGGAACCTTCAAATCATGTATCCGAGCCCGTTACTCTAAATGTTTACTTTGGTCAACTCTAAGCACTTTAGGCTTCTAGTTAACAAGTAGGCATACCAAAACTCTCCCGGGCCCTTTGGGACCCAAACCACCTGTGAGAAATATATAAGAAAAATATTTTTTGGTGAAGTAATTAAATTGCATTAGAAAGGCATCAAGAAGATGCAATGGTTACAACTAAAAACAAAGTCAAACATGAAAATAACATGAAGTTAACTGTGCAAAAACCTGTAAAGCAGCCAAAAAGATAAACCCCCTTAAACCCTACTGTACTAGAGTTAAGGAGCTAACAAAATCCAAAAAATTATCCATACCGTTTACAGGGGAGAGAAGGTGCCAATTATAAAGACTAACTAAACACCTAGTCTTAATGGTGCTTATGGGAGTTGATATTCCATCAAAACATCTGCAGTTTCTCTCTTTCCAAATGCTCCAAAAAATTACTGTTAGGATCATCCTCCAAGTACTTTTGATGGTGTTGTCAACTCTCCTACATATCCAGCTAGCATAAGCATCTTTGATGTGGAGGGGCATAACCCATTGGAGGCCAAACAATGAGAAGAAGAAGTGCCATATGCCGACTGTTGTGGGGCAGTGCAAAAAAAGATGGTTGACACTTTCATTGTCTTGTTTACAGAAAAGACATCTGTTGATGAGAATGATGCCCTTTTTCCTAAGGTTGTCTTGTGTTAAACATGCCTTATGTAGGGCTGTCCATGCAAAACAGGAAACCTTAAGAGGTTGTTTGGTCCTCCAAATATGCTTCCAGGGAAAGTCTTCAAGTATGCCAATCTGGGTGCACCAGTAGTTGTAGCGTTCCTTTACAGTGTAGATCCCTTCGCTGGAGCTTCCCCAAAGTAGTCTATCTGAATTATTAACATCTAAGTTACAATTTTCCAGTGTTTGTAGCAAGAGAAGACGTTCATTAATTTCCCAGTCTTGCAAATTCCTTCTAAAAATTGGACTCCAAATATTATCAACTCTGTATTGGGCCACTGTGGCTTCCTTGTTGGTGGCTATCTGGAACATCATAGGAAATGACTCCTTCAAAATAGTACCCCCAATCCACTTGTCTAACCAGAATCTTATGTTGAGTCCATTCCCAGGTTTGAAGTAGACTTTCTGAAGAAACTCATCTTGGAAGCTACTTATGTGTTTCCATACCCCTACTCCATGAGGATCTTTGCTCATCTTTGGTCTCCAGTGATCATGGATTCCATGTTTTGCTTTGATGATCTCCTTCCAATACCCTGCCTCATTCTGCCCATATCTCCAAAGCCACTTCATAAGCAAGCATTTGTTGTGCATCTTTAGGTCTCTAATTCCCAGCCCCCCTTGGGCCTTTGGTAGAATAACTTTTTGCCATTTCACCAGATTTTGCCATTTCACCAGAGAGCACTTATGAGTTTGACTGTTACCTTCCCACATGAATCTTTTTCTTAGTCTATCTATTTTCTTTCGGACCGAGCTTGGCAAAGGAAATAAAGACATGGAATAGATAGGAATGCTGTCCAGAACACTATTGATTAGAGTGAGTCTGCCTCCAAAAGATAAGTATTTAAGTTGCCATGTAGCTAGTCTCTTCATCTTTTCAATTACTCCAGTCCAGATCTTAGAGGATTTGAATCCAGCACCTAATGGCAAGCCCAAATAAGTGGTAGGAAAGGAGCCTATTTTGCAGCTAAGGATGTCAGCTAGTTCCTCTAGATTGGAGACCTCATTGACAGGGTATATAATGCTTTTGAGCATGTTGATGTGAAGACCAGAGATAGATTCAAAGACCATAAGGGTAATGTTAAGGTTGCGTATTTGTTGACTATCTGCTCCACAAAAGATCAAGGTGTCATCTGCATAGAGTAGATGAGAAACAGTGAGTGTAATGGAAAGATCATTGCCTACCTGGAACCCTTGAATCCACTGTAGCTCTTTGGCCTTTGTTAGCATTTGTGAGAGTCCTTCCATTTCCAGGATGAAAAGGAAAGGGGATAGTGGGTCTCCCTGCCTTAGCCCCTTTTTAGAGGAGAGAAATCCTACAGGGCTCCTGTTAACTAACACTGATAGTTTCACTGTCGAGATGCAAAAAAAGATCCATCTGATCCACCTATCTCCGAACCCCATTTGCTTTAAGATGTTGATCAAGTATGCCCAATTTAATTGATCAAAAGCCTTGACTATATTTAGTTTACATAGGATCCCAGACTCTCCACATTTTAATTTCCAGTCTAGAACTTCATTGGCAATCATGGAAGCATCAGTGATTTGTCTATTCTTCATGAATGCACTCTGTTGGCCAGAGATTAGAGAGCATACCACCTTTTTAAGCCTTTCAGCTAGAGTCTTTGCCAGTATTTTGTATACACTGCCTATAAGACTTATAGGCCTAAAATCTCTGAGTTCTAGTGCTCCTTTCTTCTTTGGCATAAGGGCAATGAAGGAAGCATTGCAAGACCTCACTTGGCAATTCTGATGGAAGAAGTTTAGTGCTCCCATTAGGTCAGATTTGATGAAGCTCCATGATCTCTGAAAGAAGGCCATGGTGAAGCCATCAGGCCTGGGGCTTTGTCTGGAGCACAAGATTTAAGGGCTTATGACACTTCCTGCTCATTGAAAGGAAGCTCAAGCTCCTCTTTTTCTATAGCACTGATAGTGGAGAGTCCCTCAAAAACAGTTGTAGGTCTCCATGTCTCTTCCTCCTGAAATAGCTTTTGGTAATAATCTAGAATACCTTCCTTAATCAGCCCCTTGTCTTTGATTAGAACATCCCCAATTCTCAATTTATCAATGCAGTTACTCCTTCGGTGAGAGTTGGCCATTCTTTGGAAGAATTTAGTGTTTTTTTTTTTTTGAAATTAAAAAACAACAGAATAAAAGAAGAATTTAGTGTTTTTATCACCTTCTTTCAGCCATAAACACCTAGATTTTTGCCTCCATGAGATCTCTTCAGCGATGGCAATCTGCTGAATCTCAATTTTCAAATCAAGCAACTTCAAATTCTCCTCAGTAGTGTAAGGTCTTTGCTCAACAATTTGATCCAACTTTCCAAGTTCCATGAGAGATTTGTGTCTTTGAGTATCAAGCTTACCGAAAACTTCTTTGTTCCATTTTGTAATATCCTTCTTTAAGTGCCTTAGCTTCTGGATCAGGACAAAATCAGGAGTGCCCATAACAATGTAAGAGTTCCACCAATCTCTTACCATATCTAGGAAACCATTTGACTATAGCCACATATTCTCAAATTTAAAGTAAGAGGGTGAAGCATCCCAATCCCCACTTTCCAAGACGATGGGCTTGTGGTCAGAGAACACTCTAGGCAGTGGGAACTGTTTGATAGCATTGAACATTTCACTCCATTCAGGTGAGATAAGCAACCTGTCAATTCTAGAGGCTTGGAAGGAGACTTCCCCTCTTGACCAGGTAAATTGAGCTCCTTGGAGAGGAGGATCAATCAATTCTAAATCTTGAATGGTGTCGGAAAAGCCCCCCATTGCTCTTGATCTTCTGGTACAATTCAATCTTTCCTCCTCAAACCTGCATACATCAAAATCTCCTTCAATTACCCACAAGTCAGACCACAAACCTCTGATAGCTGCTAGTTCGTTCCAAAGTTCTTTGCGTTCTGGATTTGTATGAGGCCCATAGACCCCTGATAAGACCCATTTAATTATTACATAGAGATTTGGTGCGGAATGCCGATAAAACACAGATTGATCAGCTCCACTACGAGTCATGCCAAACTCCTGAATTACTGTGCTGAACTTTCCAAACCAAGCTCGAGGAGACCGTTTCAGACCATAGAGTGACCGACGCAATCGACATACAAGGCTACTAGACTCCCCCTCGAGCAACAAAACCAGGTGGTTGCTCCATATAGACTTCTTCCTCAAGATCATCATGCAAAAAAGCATTCTTAATGTCCAACTGATGAAGAGGCCAATGACGAACGACAACCATAGATAGAAAAGACGGTCAAATGCTATTTTGGCCACAGGAGCGAAAGTGTCACTATAATCTAGCCTAAATATCTGAGTATACCCTTTGGCAACAAGGTGAGCCTTAAGCCGATCGACTTGACCATCTGGACCAATTTTGACCGCATAAACCCAACGACAACCAACAATAGACTTACCTGTATGAAGAGAGACATGCTCCCAAGTACCAATCGAATGTAAAGCAGACATCTCATCAATCATAGCCTGCCTCCATCCAAAGTGAGAAAGTGCTTCTCCTTTAGTTTAAGGGATGGAAATAGAGGACAAAGATGATAAAAGACATAATGGGGTGAAGATAAACGATGATAACTCAAGAAAGTATAATGTGTATTGTTATTTCGAGTAGACCGTGTACCTCTTTGAAGTGTAATCGATTGGCTAGCAGGATGCAAGGCCGCAGTGGGAGCAGGGTCCGACGTATGACATGAATCATTTGAGACTATTGTTGGACGTGGACGCCGATGATAAGTTAGGAGTGGTGGCACTACAACTGGAGATGGAGAAGCAACCGTAGGTCCCTCAAAAGTCGGTACAGGCAAGATTTGAGGTATGGGTATGACCTCAGAGACATCAGCATGATCAGAAGATGTGTAGTAAGGTTGAGATTCAAAGAATGTTACATCGGCAGACATAAGATATCGGCGGAGATAATGTGAATAGCAATGATACCCTTTTTGAACTCGAGAGTAACCAAGAAAGAAACATTTAAGAGCACGAGGGGCTAATTTATCTTTTCCTTGGGCTAAGTTATGAACAAAGCATGTACTCCCAAATACACGAGGAGGGATAGAATAGAGATGTGACTGAGGATACAGTATGGAATGTGGAACTTGATTCTGAATAGAAGATGTGGGCATTCTATTAATTAAATAACAAGATGAAAGGACTGCATTGCCCCAAAAACGCAGCGGAACATGGGATTCAATGAGGAGAGTGCGAGCAGTTTCAATGAGATGCCTACTCTTTCTTTCTGCTACACCATTTTACTGAGGAGTGTATGGACAAGATGTTTGGTGAATAATTCCTTGGTGAGACATAAACTCCTGAAACTGGGATGATAAGTATTCTAAGGCATTATCACTACGAAAAGTATGAATAGAAACACCAAACTGATTTTGTATTTCCGCAAAGAAACTTTTGAATATAGAAAATAACTCAGAACGATCTTTCATTAAGAAAACCCAAGTGCATCTTGAATAATCATCAATGAAACTAACAAAATAACGAAATCCTAAGGTGGAACTAACTCTTTTAGGACCCCAAATATCAGAATGAACTAATGAAAAAATAGACTCTGAACGCCCCTCAGTACCACGTGAAAATGTGGCACGAGTGTGTTTCCCAAGTTGATATGACTCACAATCTAATTTAGATTAACTAGATAAACTAGGCACCATCTGTTGCAGTTTGGATAGACTCGGATGTCTCAAACGTTTGTGAATGAGGTTCGGAGGATCTGTAACAGAGCATGTTGTGAAGGAATTTGAAGAGGTAAGATAGTAAAGGCCTTGTGATTCATGTCCTGTGCCAATCATCTGTCCCGTACTGCGGTCCTACATGAGAAAAGAATCATCAAAAAAGGTTATGCTACAATGTAGGGCACGTGTCAAATGACTAACAGATGCCAGATTAAAAGGAGAACCAGGGACATAAAGAACAGAGTCTAGAGTGACAGAAGATATGGGTGTGGCTTTTCCAACCCCTTTTGGTTTTGTTTGGATCCCATTTGCCAAAGTAATAGCAGGAAGAAATTGTGAATAAACAATATCTGACAGAAGTGATTTGTTACCAGAAATATGATCAGAAGCGCCCGAGTCCATGACCCATGATCCATGAGTATTAGACTGTGAAACACAAGCAAAAGAATTACCCGCAACATCATGTTGAACAATCGAAGCTACTTGTGGAGACGTTTTCTTACTTGCTCGATATTGAAGAAACTCATCATATTCTGATTGAGCAATATGAGCATTATGGGATGGTCAATCAGGCGGAGCAACAAATGCTTCTTGTGGAGAAGTGTGCTTACCTGCATGATTACGAAGGAACTCATTATATTCCTTTAGAGCAACATGATCATAACTGGGTGGTGGACCATGCATAGTATGACATATGTCACGAGTGTTTCCAGACTTATGACAATAACTACACTTGGATCGAGGTTTTCCAAGACGACCTCCTCCTCGTCGATTCTCCATAGATTGATATGCTCGTTTTTCTATGGTTTGAGATGCGAGAGCAGATGAGTCAATGGTAGGTGATGAAACTACTTTGTGGCTGGGAGGCGCGACAAGACGAAGTAGACGAGAGAATTCATCGATTGTAGGAATTGTAGGGCTAGCTAAAATCTGATCACACACATAATCATGGTCAGGAGGAAGTCCAGCAAGGGTAAGAACTAGAAACAATGTTTGTCTGTGTTCTTGTTGGTTTTCCACATTCGTAGTAACTGGCATCAACGTGTCGAATTCCTCTATGACTGCGTGTACCTGTCCCAAGTAAGTAGACATATCGGATTCTTGTTTCTTTAAGTTGGTCAATCGAGATATCACATCATAGAATTGAGATATGTCATTTGTGTATAAAGCACGAGCCTTTTCCCAAACTGTATAACACGTATGGAATGGGCGAAACAAGGGCATCAATTTGGAATCAATAGAACGCCATAGGAGACTACATAATTGAGCATCTATTTTCTCCCATTGTGTTTTGGCTTTTGCATCTTCGTCACTAGTCTTTGCCTTTACATCTACCACATAAGTCTTGTTTGTTTAGTGATCTTGGACACCTTGACCCTTGCACCACAGCTCAACCGAGGAAGCCTAAGATAAATAGTTTGAACTTCCTAATAAGAGTTCTGAAGTGATTATAGGGCTAGAACTTCCAATGCCCATATTTTTAGAACCAAAAAGGCAAAAACATCACACCCAAAAGACATTATGCTAAATTTGTCTTGGAAACAACAAAAAGCTTGATTATAGAGATCTGATTGTCGGAAAATTCAAATCTCAAAGAAAAAATTGTCGGAAACAGCCTGGAAATAGCCGGAACCCTAATTCCAGCGATCGCATCTGGTCAAGAACAGTATGGGCCTGGTCGGAATGGCTGGACGACCCCAACTGTCAAAAAAAATCTCAAAAAATATGATCAGAAAAGCCCTCACGCACTGGCGCGTGAGACAGATCTCGCCGATCGGCGCGTGAGAGCGCATGGGGTGATTTTTTCCGGTGGTTCTGGCTGGGGTTTGGTCGCGGGAGCTTTCCGAGCCTCGTGGTGGTGTTGGTTTTTGGACAACACCCACAGAAAGAAAAAAAAATAACGAATTCAGACCCAACAGCCACCGGAAATTGACATAGATATACGGTGACTTGTTTGTTCTCACCAATGCTCTGATACCATGTGAGAAATATATGAGAAAAATATTATTGAATTGTGTTTTAATTATTACATAGAGAACCCTATTTATAGACACTATGATACAATTCCTTACCAATTAGGTGACTATAAACTATTCCTATTTTGTGTAGGATTGTGTATACCTATTCTATTCTAACACCACCCATAATCACAAAGTTACAAATCACCATATGAACCTGCAAAAAATCTCAAAACATGAAACGGAGTGGTACATCTCAAATGAGGGATTGAGTTGTTACAATCAAAACACAAACAAACTGCTTTTCTTCTAAAGTACTTTATGAAAATGATTTTGATGAAAGTGCTTTTCAAAATTAGTTGCCTTTGGTAGCATGGCCAAACAGACTCTTACAGTTATTTATATATATTTAACTTATTTTAACTCTTATTTTTATTTTGTGTGATGATGACTTGAGTTAGGCTTAAATGAAATCGTGAGGATTCATATAACTGACCCCAACTTGTTTGGGACTGAGGCATAATTGTTGTGGTATGTCCACCACCATAAAGCATTGCTATATAGGAATTTAATGTTGCATCTATTCCTGCTTATGAGTTTTTCCTCCCATTACTCGATTGAAGTCAGCATGTTCTTCTGATTTCTTTTGCTTAAGTAACTAATTTACACATTTCAATTCTGCATCCCTCCTGTCAATTGATATTTGATTTGATTAAATTTCAGGATCCAAAGAGAAAGGTTCATAAACCAGTAAAAGGTGTCTTGAAATTGGAAATCGAAAAGCTGCCAGCTAGCTCTACTGAAGCTGAAAATGCTTTGGAGAGTGGTAGTTTGATCTATGATTCTATTGATCATGGCGACCATTTGAATGATTCAACTTCTATGAAATGCCCTGCTAATGGTTCCTTTTCCAAGTCTAAATCCTCTGAGATGAAAGAGCTTGTTCGGAATGGTTCGGTTGCTCATGAAAATGTGGAAAATACTGCTGATGATGTAAGTGTCGTCTTTCAAATC